GCCGCCGAAGACCTGGAGCGAGTGAAGGACCCGCCGCCAAAGACCCCAGAGCGAGTGAAGGACGTGCCGCCGAAGACCTGGAGCGAGTGAAGGACCCGCCGCCAAAGACCCCAGAGCGAGTGAAGGACCCGCTGCCGAAGACCTGGAGCGAGTGAAGGACCCACCGCCGAAGACCTGGAGCGAGTGAAGGACCCGCCGCTGAAGACCCAGAGCGAGTGAAGGACCCGCTGCCAAAGTGCCGCTGAAGACCCGGAGTGCCGCCGGGTGAGTAAAAATTAAAAAGGCGCCTCTAGCCAGGAAAGGGATTCTCGGCCTGGGCTCGCGGGGCCCCTGTGGGGCCCAGGGCAAATTGCCCCACTTGCCCCCCGGGTGGCCCTGAGGGGTAGTGATGCTTATCTCATTTGCAAAGACTGCGGAGATCTTCTGAGGAAAAGCCGTCAAAGGAGGCGAGATGAACAAGACTGGGACTTCTCAGCTTAGAAAAGAGACGACTAAGGGGGGATACGAGACAGGTCTATAAAATCAGGACTGGTGAGGAGAAAGTTAAGGAAGCGTTATTTACCCCTTCACGGACGACACGAACCGGGGCTCACGCAAAGCAATTCCTAGGCAGCGGGTTTAAAAGAAACATACGGAAGTACCTCTGCACACAGCGCACAGTCAACCTGTGGAACTCATTGCCAGGGGATGCTGTGAAGGTCAAAAGAATTAGATCAATTCACGGAGGATTAGCCACAACCTCATCCCTAAACCTCTGACTGCCAGAATCTGAGACTGGACAGCAGGGGGGTGGATCACTCGATAATTGCCCTGTTCTGTTCGTTCCCTCTGAAGCACCTGGCTCCAGCCACTGTCGGAAGACAGGATACTGGGCTAGATGGACCATTGGTTTGACCCAGTATGGCCGTTCGTATGTCAGATCTAGGTATTATTTTGCTATTCGCACGTACAGCGCCTGACACAATGGGGCCCTGATCTCAGCTGGGGCCTGTAGGGGGTGACCGTCGTCCCAATGACTAATAAATCAAGGTGGAGGATGCAGATCACATGGGGCTAGAGGCGCTTGGGGGAGTTTCATAACGTGCCTTTTCCCTTTATATAACTCTTGCCTCTTGTCTGGCAAGGGTTAAATGCCCAGGCTTGAGGTCGGTGGGTTTGCAGGACAGATGAGTCAGGCCAGAGGTAGAATCAGTTCTTGCAGCTGGCGGGTGGGGGTGGGGGGGGGAAGGTGTTTGTGGTGTAAAAATCAATTGCAGCCTGGCATGGGGTGGCAGAGTGTTGTGGGTTTGGATCCCTGCTCCTCGGCTCTCTGCCCTGGATCCGAGTACAAAACCCTCCCCTGCCCGCTCTGCAGCTGCTGTGGGGCTGGGATTTGGGTGGAAGGAGGCGAGGGGGGGGAGAACTGCAGAGGGGGAAGGAAAAGGTGGGGGACGTAGAACTGTGCTGGTTCACACACAAAAAGGCAGAAGATGCAGGAAGCAACGTAGCGGAGGGGGAGCTTTTGTCATCTGGCATCTTCAGGGTCCTGGTGCCGCCTGGTTCCCGTGCTGGGGGCCTTGGGAAAGGGAAGGGCGCCAGGCCAGACATGGCGTGGCTGGTGAAACCCACCCCTGCCTGTCCAAGGGGACTAGTGATTTGGGGGGCCCAGGTCGAGACCCCTTAAAGGGGTAGGCGCCTTCTGAAAATCCAGCCCCTCTAAGGCGTCTCGCCTCGATCCTCCCAGAATCAAGGCGCCCCAGTTTGACTCCTCGCTGCTGGGAGTCTTGGCTGGAGACGAGAGCCTGGAGGGAGCGCTGCCCCGTGTCGCCGGAGCGATTGGTCGATAGCGACAGCGCCCTGCGGTTCCCGATGAGCACCCCCAAGGGCGTTGCGGGGAGCGGGCCTTGCACGCCGCCGGGGGCGGATCGCCAGCCCCGTTTTACCGGTGGGGGAGCTGAGATGCGGGGAGGTGGCCAGATGCATCCCGCTGGGCCCAGGACTGGCTCCCGGCCCTGTGCTTTGAAGGACACATGGGCGCTGCTTGGCTGGCGTGCCATGGCGAAGAGGAGGACTAGCTGTGACCCACTGCAGCTGAGCCCTGTGGCCTTTCGTTCCTCCCCACACCCCAACCCTCATGTGTCTGCCGCTCAGATTCTGCTCCTGAGATCTCAAGGGACAGCGCTGCGGGATGCGGGGAAGCTGAAATCAAACCCTGTGGGGCCTGATTCCTCTGTGACTTGGTCAGAACATAGAGAGGCAGTGTGTAGGGCTGGATGGAGCTGGGTTTTCTTCCTCTGACCACGGGCAAGTCCTTTGGCCGCTCTGTGCCTCAGTTTCCCCTCCCACCCTTTGCCTGTCTCTTTAGCTTGTGAGTTCTTTGGCGTCTGCCTCTCACGGTGTGTCTGCGCAGCGCCTAGCAGGATGGGACTCTGAGCTTGATTGGAGCCTCTGGACACTACTATAATACGGGTAATAAACAGAGGGGTTACTCCAGATTGACATGGGGGTAAGGGAGGGGAGAAGCCAGGCCCCTAGGGGGTCAAATGGAGTTTCCTCAGGGATGAATTTGGCCCCGCGAAGCTCTCCACTGCAAGGTGATGCTGTGAACTCCCTGATTTCTGCCCCCAGTGGGTTCGTGAATGGGCACAATCTGATGGCACTGAGTGGCCATGTCAGAGTCAAAGTATTTCTAAGGGGAGAGACGCTAGGCATCAGAGCGGCGTACGGTGACTGAGCCGTAGCACTGAAACCACAGGCTAGCGTCTTCTAACTCACGTGGTTAACGGTAGGCGGCCAGCACGGTATTTAGGGGGCTGATTTCGCCAGGGAGCCAAGCCACAGCCTCTGTCATCAGCGCCTCGGCAAAGCCGGTCTCTTCTGGCCAGGTGCCCCGCAACCTGATTTTCAAAGGAGAGGAATGCGCCCAATGCAATTGCCCCTCTGAAAACCAGGTCCCAACTGGGGCTTCAGCCGGCCTTGCAAAGGCTGCAGGGAACAACCACAGCGGCACCTATAAGGTGCCCCCGGCCAGTGTTTTGGGGGTGGGCGTTGGAAACGGACCCGGCAAATCAAGAACAAGCAAGCCAGGGAGTTGAGGGGTGCACCTGAAGCCCCTCCCCCACCAAAGCTGCTATTCCCCAATTATGATAGTACCCCCCCCGCCCACACCCCTTTTTCCGACCCCTTGAAGCGCTGCCCCCAGCCTGCCTCCCAGCGGGAGTCCCCCAGATCACCAGGGAAAAGGGGAAGCCTCCGCTTAGAGCAAGGACAGGCCCGCGGGACAGCACCTCTGTTGCAGACGGGCAAGGACTCTGCCTCGTGCCTTGGCCCGGAGCTAGGCTGAGAGCGAATAAGCCTTCGTGCCATGGAGGGCGGGACGGGGTCGGGGGCAGCCAAAGGGGGACGTGGTCACTGGCTTGGAGGGGGGAAGAGCGGATCTGTCCCCCTGTGAAAGGCGCCCAGAGAACCGGCCGCACCAGAGGGGGCTGAGTCGAGTTTGTCGCTGTTTTTAATAAGTCGATGGCAGAGCTGGGGGGCTTTCGTCGTCCCGGCCCCCTCCTACCGGGGCGATTAGCTCAGTGGCTTAGGGGTTTTGCAGGGGACGCATGGCCCTGTTGCTTCCTTTAGGCGGGGAAGAAGAGAAGGGCCTGTGTGATCTCTCTAAGACCCAGAGGGAGCCTAGGCCGGGGCGGTAGGCTGTGCTGATTGCAGAAGAACTGGAGCCTTCGGTCTCCATCACCAGCCATTCAGGCGCAGAAAGAGAGAGGGAGGAAGAGGAGGAGGAGGAGGAGAAGGGGCGAGGGGCGGGGGAGGGAATCTGATCACCCGGCTGGCAATGGCCTGAGCCGATCCCTTAGGAGATCCAGCGCTCCTGCCCTGCCTGCCCGACCAGCCCTGCCTCCTCGCCACCCTGCTCCCATTTCGCCTGCACAATGCCAGCTGTACGGCGTAGCCCCTTCCTACACTAGGGGGGCTCTGCTGGGGATGTGAGCCGGCGGGCAGGGAGAGCCATTGTGGGGAAGAGGAGCCAGCCAGAGGAGGCCGAGCGAGGCTATGAGGTGTGGGCGACCGGAGAAGGCTCCTCGCTGAACCATGATGAAGACGGAGCCCCACGCCGCCAGCCCCGGCAACAGCAGCAGCGGCAGCCTGAGAAGCGCCTCTCCCCACAGGAACGCCTACGAAGCGGGGATCCAGGCCCTCCGAGCCACAAAGGATGCCCTTGGGGCCGCCGAGAGCGAAGAAGCCAAGAAGGCCAGGAACAAGAAGTATGGCTCCAACGTGCACCGGATCAAGAACATGTTCCTGCAGATGGGGACCGCCCCGCCGGGCGAGGGCACCTGCGACCTGGCCAAGGTGAAGGAGAAGCCCGTCCGGCTTTCCTTGCCCAGGGCCAGCAGCCTGAACGAGAACGTGGACCACAGCGCCCTGCTGAAGCTGGGCACCAGCGTGTCGGAGAGGGTGAGCCGCTTCGACTCCAAGCCCGACAAGCCGGTCTCCAAGCTCCAGGAGACCCGGAAGATCTTCGAGCGGAGCCTTCAGGAGAAGGAGACCACCAACAAGCTCTTGCTGAGGAAGGAGAGGGCCGGCTTCCAGGACAGGAAGCTGGATGTGGTGGTGAGGTTCAACGGCAGCACGGAGTCCCTGGACAAGCTGGACACGGAGGCCGTGTCGCCCACCGTCAGCCAGCTCAGCGCCGTCTTCGAGAAGGCCGACCTGAGGAACAACCTGCACAAAACCCCCAGCAAAGTTGGGCCCCTCAACTCCAAGATCGTCAGCAAGAGGTCCCGGGTCTTCCTCCAGGGTCCGGAAGGGGGCAAGGCGGAAGCCAGGGGCGGCGACGGGCCGGCTCCCCAACTGAGAGGCGACAAGGCCCAACCCAAACCGGTCGCGCCCAGGCCGGGCGAGAAGGACGCCATGGGCCCACGGGCCCAGAGCGTCCAGGAGGTGCGGAAGATCAAGCCGGTGGAGGTGGAGGAGAGCGGGGATTCGGAGCAGGAGTTCGAGGCCGCCGAGCAGGCGGAGGAGAGGGCGGCTGAGCAGGACAAGAGCAAGAGTTTGGCGTCTGGGCCCGAGAGGGCCGAGATGATCCAGGCCGAGGTGACGGTGCACGCGGCCTTGGAGAACGGCGGCCTGGCTGCGGAGAAACACGGGCAGGCCCCAGAAGTGGACGCCTACCCCGAGGAGGAGGGCAAGGCCGAGGGGCAGGAGGAGGCCGACCTGGGCGATGAGTCCAAGAAGGAGGACTTCTCGGAGGCCGACCTGGTGGACATCAGTGCATACAGTGGGCTGGGGGAGGACTCGGGGGGGAGCGGGCTGGACGAGGACGAGGAGGCCGACGGGCTGTACGAGCCCGAGTCGAGCTGCGTGGAGATCCCCGGGCTGTCGGAGGAGGAGGAGCTGGCGTCCAACCGCAAGATCCAGTTCAGCACGGCTCCCATCCAGGTAGGCCGCTGGGCGTCCCTGCGCCTCGCCAGGGTGGGGATAACGGGCCGGGCGCGCCAGCCAACGGAGCCCTCTCAGCGCCCGCGGGGAGGTGCGAAGAATTCTAGGCGGGGGGGTCATTCCCACCCTGGGGCACGTGATGAGGAAGTGTCAGAGCTGGGATCAGAACCCAGCAGTCCCTAGCATCTAGCCCCATGCGCCACCTCCCTCCCCGCCACCCGGTAGCTCCCTGCCTGGGGATTTTTCCAGATTGTCACGCCATCGCCCCCAGTTAGCATTGGACCAGCTGGGGTGGGATGCCATTGATATTGGACTCTAGGGGTGCCAGGCTATCTGTGCCAACGTGCTGTCTGTGCGCCGGCACCCATGAAATGCAGCCACTGCTGGGGTGGTTGGACAACGTCCATCCAGTACACACTCTTGCGGGGCTAGGGGTGGGCGAAAATATTGGTCAGGTGCAGCAGAGCCAACCCCTCGCTGGGGTGAGAAGTGCCAAGGGGCTATCAAGGGCTAGGCAGGACCATGGGGTAGGGTGTGGGTCCCCCCGCACCCCGGTGAAGGTCTGAGCCAGCCCTGAACCAGTGATTCCAGGGGGTGTAGGTATGTGGCGTCTCTCTAGCCCATTAAGCCGTCCCCGTTTGGTGGAGCGAGCAGAACCCGCCTTCCTCTTCCGCTGGCAGAGCGCGGACTGGTTTCAGACACCACCTGCCCGCCCGGAGCCCAAAGCCAAGCCAGGCCTGGGCAGTTGCCGAGGCTGCTGGATTCGCCGCAGGCCGGATGAGGCTACCCCCTGGCATTGTGGGCAGATCTGTGGCATGGGGCGGGCGGGTAGCTGGCTCGAGGAGGGGTCTGAGCAATGTGGGGCAGGAGAACATCCTGGGTACGGGGGGAGTCTGCTGTGTACCCCAGGAGCCTGGCTTCTCTCAGGGATGGACAGCCTCGAGATAAGGATGGGATCAGGAAGCTGGCGAGGAGGGTGAAGGGAGGATACCAGCTGTCTGATCCTACCTCAGGGGAGGTCTTTCCATAGGCATCTGGGTTTGTCCCCCCCCACACTGCTCCTCTGCCCCTTTGGGGGCCTGCGAGAAGAGGCTACAATCGCCCCAGCTTCCTCTCTGGAGTTACACCAGGGGCAGTATTTGGCCCAGTGCCTGTGATTTGAGAATGGGAGCCAGGAGGGCTCGCTTGGTGTGGATGGATGTTTGTGCATATCGGCCGGCGCCCTGCTCCAGTGCCCTTCGCCACTGGGGTGCGTAACCGACCCTCTGCACCCACCCTAGATCCAGGGGATGGGAGCCCGGCCGCTGGTGGAGCCCCCACGAACAGGTGCATTATCACAGCAGCCACTCCCAAGCCCCCAGCTGTGGTTGTGCAGCTGATGAAGTGGTGGGGGGTTGGCCCGGGGTGCGCCTGCTCCCCCACCCAAAGCCTTGCTCCTGGAGTGAGCTGGGGCTCAGAGCACGGCTGAGGCGCGAGCCAATCCAGGCCGGGTCTGACGCTGAGGGTCTGGGAATCGGGCCGTGAGAGGAGCCAGGCAGTGCTGTTATCCATAGGCAGCCCCAGGGGTTGAGGTGCCTGGGTGGGGAGGTAAGGCTGCGGGGCAGAGGGACCTTTTGCTAAAGCAGAGGCTTGGGTGTCAGGAGAGTCGGGTTCCATGCCCAGCTCTGCCATTGACTTGCTGGGCGATCTTGGGCGAGTCACGCCTGGCTCTGTGCCTCAGTTTCCCTACTTGCAGAGCACGGGCCGTCCGGCTGACCGGGCTCCCTGCGGGGTTGGAGGCTGGGCTTGTTAACGTTTGGGTGGCAGGTGCTGGAGCAGGACGCATTGCTGTCATCCTGGGGGTGTGGGGCCATCGCAGGAGATTTGCCCAGTTAGAGGGACGTTAAGACTTTGCTTGTGTGGTGTGCCGTGGCCAGGAGAACTGGATGCAGATGAGCCCTGCTGGGTCTCCTTAGTGGCCTGTCGGGGTAGGAGGTGGGAGCGTACAGCTGCTGGGCTGAGCAGCGGTGGCTGGTCTTGGCCTTGTGGGCGGTGATTTTGGATTGTGCCCCTCTTCTCCATGTGATGAGTGTCCCAGGGGTTGACTGGGCTCTTCTCCCATTGCTGGCCTTACGGGGACAGTGATCTTTGTAAAACCCCTTCTCCCAGGGCGGAGCTGCCTGAGCATCACGAATGAAGGCCCTGACTGAGATCAGGGCCCCGTTGCGCCAGGCGCTGCGCGTCCAGAGTCGGCGCCCTTGCCCTCGAGAGCTCACCATCTAAACAGACCCGACAAAGGGAAACAGACTGGCCCAAGGGTCACCCAGTAAGTCTGTGGCAAAGCCAGGTCTCCTGGACCCCAGTCCAGTGCTCTGTCCTCGGCACTGGACTGTCTCTCTCTCTCCACTTGCCTACAGCTGCCTCTCATCCATTGTTTGGCATGTCTCAGCATGGGATCTCTTGGGAGGAAGGGCTAGCCATTGGTCATGTCCCTGAGCTAACAGGCAGTGGTGTAGTGTGTACTCCTCTTCCCCTGTGGGGTGGCCTTCGGGGGGCGGGGGATCCCCAGAGGAGAAGGAGCTCCGAGCTGTGAAGA